TATGAAAAAATAGAGGGTTTTTTTTTCATAGTAACCATTGAACAGTTCTCTGCCTTAAGTTTCCACTAACTAGTGGTCAAAGCAAGCCCTTTCTTTTAATTTACACAAGTAGCAGACATAGTTTTTAGAGCTAATATTAAAATAATGCTGTGGTTTTGGCATTTTTTTGGTTGGTTGGTTGGTTGTTTTTTTTCCTGTAAAGTAGACAAGCTGTGTAGTACATCTCCAAAACTGTGATCAAGCAAGGTTACTGTCTGATTTGTTTTTATTTACTATTTCCTGTACTTTTCTTCATTCTAATAACAACAGAGCAAAACAACTTTAATTCTGATAGCATTGAGTATGATGATGAAAGTTGGTTCTAGCAAAGACTTTTCTCTTAGACAGTTTGCTCTTGTTCTCTGTCTGCTTAGTGTGTAGCAGGGTGGGAGCATTTGGGTCTACTGCATGCTGTGATGTAGAGTATGTGTGCGTGAGAGCTGAGTGGAAGGACAGGGGAAGTGCCCATCGTTCCTGCAGCTGACCTGTTTTCTGCAGGCTCCACCTGCTTCAGGCTCATTTGAAGGGATTTGAATTTCTCAGCGTTTTCATCATTACAGCTTAAGTTGACTCAGAATTTACATATCTTGTTAAACTTTCATACTTAGTTGAGAGACTTCAGCTTGTTATGTTATGATGATTTTTATAAACAAATTGTTGCAGATGAAAGCAGAGACCAGATATTCCCACAAGGCTGAAAAAAAACCCAGGAGGTTTTCTCTTTCTTCCCCAGTAACGCTGGTCTGGGATCCTTTTATTCTTTATGTAAGCCTTGGGGCTTCTCAGTTTCGGTTTAAGGATGTATCATGTGTTTTTCTTTTACCAGTGATACTTCTTCCCCCTAAAGACTCTAAAGCACTCTTTAAAGTTAAGTGCACAGAATGATTTCTGAGCTGATTTCTCTGTGCAGTTTTTGCCACAGAGAGTATTAGTATTATCTTACAGAATCTTAGAGATAATATTAGCTTACTGTATGACTATGTGATACAGCACAAAACCATATGTTGCATCCAGTCTGTGAGAGCTGGGACTACACTGTTGGCTTAATATTGATGTGGATAAATGTGCATGCATGTGTTTGCATGTACATCCATGCACTACTTCTGTCTCCCTGCACGTGAATATAACCTGTGTATACCCACATATATGTACATGGATAAATGGACAATACATGGAAGCAAAGTTATGGGAAGTTTCTTTTTTTGCTTTCTATGGCCATAGCTCTTCCTGTTGGCATTCTTGTAATTTGTTGTTTAATGACCAGCTTGTAAAGCACTTATATAAAGATGGGCAAACATATTGTATGTATTGACACTTTCCATTCAGAAGGTGAAACAGGATTGTACGAAACCTTGAGGTGTTGCTTGAGAATTTCATATGTTACCAAGAGAGAGGGAGACAAATGAGTATTTCTAAGTGAGAGGTGAGGAATCCCAGTTAGCAGCAGTAGAAAAGATACTGTGGGTAGGCCAAAAATAACTTTTTTCCTTCCCCCAGTTGAGACATAGCCCAAAATGTAGCAACAGCAATGTCACACCTCTCAAAGCTGCCCCTGCATGCCACACATAAAAGTAATTTTCTTTATTTCAAAAGCTCTAGTAAATGTATGCCATCTATATATGTACAGTGGGCTTTACACCAGTAGAATTGTTCCTCACGAACCATATGAAATTGAATCTTGTTCTTTAGACATGCTTATTAAAATATTTTTTCATCACTGGATAAAAAGTTTATAGTTGCAATCACTTTTCATTCAAATGGAGGTATCTTACGAGTGTTTTAATCTGTAGTTCCTAGTGCTCCCAGGGATATTGTTTTTTCCAACGTACAATCAACGAGTGTGACCTTGAATTGGAGATCACCGAAGTCTATCCTTGGCTACTTTCAAAACTACAAGGTTACCACACAGCTACAATCCATCCACTGCAGTGACTGGGAAACGAAGGAATGTATCGAACATGAGATGCATCAATATTTATATGAAAATATGGTGGATGGCCGGATAGAAGAGACAGTGTATGGACTGAAAAAATACAGATGGTACAGATTTGCAGTTGCTGCCAGTACGAATGTTGGTTATGGCAGTTATTCACCTTGGATTTCTACACAAACACTTCCTGGATGTAAGTAAGAATGTTTGCCGTGTGTTATAATGCTGTAACAATGTGATGTTCACGTACATAAGCAAGAACACTTGTTGGAAGTTATTTCTTCATAGACCTACAATATTAGTGAATTTAATAAATATTTATTGCAACTTTTCACTTATGAAATATCATTATATAAATCACGTGGTAGAAATGCATACTTGACACTACTTCATATTTTAATGCCTTTTGGATGCTCTACTGTATTTGCTGCTTACCCAACAGCAATTTCATTCTTCAGCCCTTTTCCAGATCTAGAATTGATAAGTCTAAATTTTGACTACTTTGGGTTGATATGCCATTTTCAGTCCATCTCCACATGTGGGATATGTCAGTGAAAAGTAGTCCTTTTTTTTAATTCTTTGACGAAAGTCTGTTCTCTAATGTCATAAGGCTTTCCTGAAATTCTGCTGTATGTTCCTGGCAATAGAATTTAGGTAGTAGTTTCAGAAGATTTCAGATTTCTTTCCAATACTATATCCACCTGAAGAGATTGCAAATCAGAGTGGCCATGTAACACCTACAGGACTGTCGTGACAAATATTAGCGTGGTAATGCCTCAGCTGAGGACTTTGGTTTCCAAGTAAGAGAAGAGCTAGTTGTCATGGATAAGTCATTGCTAGATATTTGAGAGAAGGAGACCTGAAACATAAATTATTTAGGAAATTGTGGCATTGACATATGACCTTCCCACACAGCCCACAGCCAGCCTAGATCAGAGAACATGTGAGATCTGGCCTCTGGCCCATGCAGAACAACTGAGAAACACTATGAACGTCCTGGCTAAAAAGAGCTCCTTCACTCCTTTCCCCTTCCAAAGCAATCATAACAGAGATACCAAGGGCTTAAACAGCTGCGTACCAAGGACTACTCAATGGTCCTCATACTTACTTTATTCCATTCATGTTTTTACAATTATGTGATGTGAATCCAGGAGTCCTTTATATAATGCTCCTCACAGTATATGTGCACTCTCTGTAAAGTAATATAGTCATCTATCCCTAATTACTTCACAATTTTTCCATTAGGTAAGGAAATACTATCATCTTCATTTGCAGGTTGGAAATTGCAATAGCGAAATTCTAAGCCCCAAAGGGCAAAGAGATTTGGACACTGCGATAGTGAACATCACAAGACCCCAGAAGCAGTCCTTTGGACTGAGAAGTACTGGAATCAGCTGCAGTCTCATCCTCACGTGCACTTACTTTCGTTGTCCAGTGGCTCTTATGGGGATGCTATGCCTCTAAATTAAGGCAATATTTTAAATTAAAGTGAAAAAATCCTAAAACATACCACCCCAGATGGAGCAGAAAATAAGTAACAGAATGTGTGCAGCTCTTGAGCCAACAGCTCTGGGAAAATTTCTTACTATTAGATGGATAGATCTCAGCTGCTGACATATGTAAATACTTACCTTCCATAAATTGTTGCTGAGTTTAGGAAAGTTAGGCATTCAAACTGGACAGAGAGGCAGATAATCAAAACACATATAATCACCTAAAGATAGGAGCCTCTTTATGATTTCCTCTTTGGATAGTGATAATTTAGTTTAAGAGCAATCTAATTCCCGATCAGTCCCACTGAGGAGATGGTGGTTAAAAGTATAAAAATCTCACAAGACTGCACAAGCCTTTTCCATGCCAATACAGGGTCATTCTCAGTAGTAGGTTCTCTGTGTGCTCTATTAGCTAGTTTATTAAAGGGGTTAGAAGTTTAAGAAGTTCCATTAGTTGTTGCAGCCCAAGTGTCTGTGGTGAGGGAAGTGGGCAGTGACCAATTGCCTGTGACCTAAATCCATGACACGTCAGGAGATGAGCTGCCTATAAAACACACCACCATGGAGTCAAGGAAGCGTGGGCACTATTCCAGATATCATGGCTGGGTGCTGGTCTTTTTCTTGGGGAAGTGGCAATCAGCTGAGGAGGAAAAAAAGAGGAACTCGACACTTTGCACAGCTGGGTAGTCAGCTGGTAGCTCCAGGCAGGTTTCAGCAGCGCTGGGAGCCTCCCTCAGCAGTGGTTGATCTTTAGGAAGTGCAGGTCTCTGGCTACCTGACCTCATACTTTCCAAAGACTAGTCTTTAGAAATGGGGTTAAACGACTAAAAGACTTAGTTCTTTTCTTTCTTTTGCAACGGGTACTGCCTGTAGCAGGTAAAAAAAATTCTGGATGCACAAAACAGAGCTGGCAGTCTGGGAAGCCTTGGGGAGTGCCTCCAGAGAACAGGTGTTGATCCCCCTCTTCTTTCCCTCATGGACATGGCCAAGCATCCTCTGGATTAGCCTGCTGGTACACAGCCAATATACATGGTCTGTTAGGGCTTAAGGGTGCTTAGCTGCTATGTAAAATAGCCTGAGTACTTAGCCCATAAAATCAATGGGAGTTGTGTTTGCAGATTTGAGGGCAGAAGTTAGCCACTGTTTCTGATTTTCAAGAATTGCCTCTGTAAGACATTGCTTCTGCCAAAGGGAAAGTTACCTTGGTTGAGAAATAATCATCAAATGATTTTTCTCCATAAATAATTGGTTTCTCAGAAATCTGTGTTTCTCTCAAACCTAAAGAAAATATTGCTGTTACTATAATCATATGCAGGAAGTTACAATATTTAAACTGAAAACTGTTAGACTACTAATTTCCCAGAACACAGAGATGAAACTTGAACAGTAGCAAAATTTACATAACAGAAACCCTTAAATATTCTTTAAAAGTGCTGAGGATTTGACTGTTGTGCTAAAGCAGAAATACTTAATAACTCTGACTATCCAGTGACTACGGTGAGCATCTTAGCTATTTATTTCAGTTGTTGATTATGAAGGTGAATTTAAGGCTACAGGAATTCTTTTTAAGATTCTTCAACTCGTTTGCAAGTTTCAGACCAAAAATAATGCCTGTGTTCTGTACTGAGGGTGGCTATGGTGTTACTCTGTGGAAAATGTTACAGGTTGTTCAATACAGTCCAGTTGTTGTGTCACACAGATAAACTATTCAGCCTTCTGTCTTGCAGATTATTCTCACAGGAATTGTCCTACTGTCTCATAAAGTAGTTTGATGGCACTGTTATTGCTTAGCTGATGGATTACTCAAGAGCCGAATCTACTCTGAAAGATGAAATATTTCCAACATGACCTAGGTTTATATAGTTACCAGTACAGATCACAGTGTTGTATCACAGTAAGGGAAAGGGCAAGAAGTGTTTTCCATAGCTGGGGAAACTTTTTTCCCCTCACACCTGCACATAACCCAAGTTTCAGTTTTACATTTATAAAGAGAATAAGATAGAGCAAATTCATGCTTTCTAACAGAAAAAACACTTTGGAGGGTCAGCGTTAGGTGGAAAATGAATGGCAGTGAGATCACTGACCTAATTTTGGATCTCATACAGTTACACAATGCAATACTTCTTGGAAAACTACCAAGTCTCCTAATTCCAGGATATACTGAGACACAAAGGAAAATCCCACATGTTCGAATGTCCCATGAAAGCTATGACATAGGGTTATGCTCCTCTTTTCAGCACCTTCCCAGTTTCTTGGTATACTTAAAGAAATGTTTCTGTATGCTGAAAAGCAATAATATTTCATTTGTTTTCATGTGCCCTTTCTTCTGGCAGGTTTTGCCTGAAAGAGCTCATTTTTCTTTGTGCCTTTCATTCTCTGAGAGCTAAATATTGGCAAGTAAATATGGCCTGATATAAGTGTTTAAATATAGGCAAAAGTTAACCTAGGTGATTATGAAATGAAATAACTGAACTTCACACTTAATATTTTGGAGGAAATGAAAAAAAAAGCTGGTCTTAACCAAACTGGCAAGCAAGGATTTCTGCTAGAAGACTGGAGTATTCAGTCTTATTTTTGAGGATTATGCTAAATGATGGGCTATCCAGACTTATGTTCAAGCTAACACACTTAACTGCTGCCTTAGCATCAGGATGCAGATGGATGGGAAAGATGACCCTGACCTCCATAAGACCCACATTCCTGTGCAAGGATAGAAGCATGATAATCAGGAAATGATGGTTATTAGTTACAGAAAATGCATTATTGTGAAAACCAGGAGAAAAGTGCTTATGAGAGGAAGTGATTGGATTATGGGGGAATGAGAGAATAAGACTAGGTCATTTCTACTGAGTAAATTGCTGTGATTTATAAGAGAAAGGGTATAGTGATATCATGGCCTCATATTGACTAGTTTCATTTCACAAACAAACCTAAATCAGAATGTGGCAGTTACCCACTGAAGCACACACAGTATTTAAAAAGCTGGGTTTTGTAAGACATGATACGTTAAACACATATCTTTTTCTAGTTTTCTTGCTATTTTTGCAAGTTATTTCAGAAAATATTCCTGAATTTGAGTATCATTCAGTTAATGTCTGATACTGTACTTTTCACAATGAATATAAAACAGGTATTAACGCTTAGATGTATTTTTATAGCTACCTTATATACAACATTCTCAATTTTAGTTTTTTTGCAAAGATCTAAAAATGTATCAAATATAAATTGCACATGGAAATTATCCATATAAATAACTTCAGGTCCGATAACTTGTAGATTATATTATGCTTTAAAATTATTTCACACCATCATTGTCTAATGCATAAACCTAAACTGGCTTCTGGAAAAAAAAAAAAAAAAAGAGAGAGATTAAACGCTCCATTAGAGCTATAAAAAAGTAATGGAAAATTGTCTTTGGAAACTTGATTGTTTTGGAAACCATGGCTTGGGAAGCTATGTGTATATATATAATTTTATACTGTTTTTAAGAAATTTCAGCTGGTGTTAAAGGTGGTATCACTGCCACAGTTACTGAAAGCATTGTTTACACTAAAAGACACTGTTTGAGCAACAAGTCTGACATGCATTACCACCAAAATAAACTTGATTTGGGCTAATTCTAGTTTTTAGGGAACATTTTTACCCTTGTATTTTGTTGTGTCTGTTCTAGTTCCCCACTTAACAGCCAGCCTTCTCTGAGCAGTCTCCTCTTTCAGCACCCCTCATGTGCTCTCATAGTTCATTCAGTTACACTCTTCATTCAGTTGTTCCATGATATTCGGTATTTTTGAGGACTGCTTCCAATGTTTGAATCTGATCCTGCCTACAAAGTCTAGTATACTCCTGCTAATCCCAGCACAGCAATCTACCTTCAGTCTCCAACACCCTAAACTCTTCACAGTATCTTATCAATTCCCAAATTTTTCTGGTTTATTCTGCAATCGTGGTTCAAAATTTTCATCTTTATGGAGCAAAATGTCATGATTTCTCCCCATTAATCTTTCACACATAATTTCAATAGCTATGTACTTTCTTCCATGCCATTTTTCCTTTTCCTAACCAGTTTTCTACCTGAACAACTAAGTAATCTTGCATACACCCCACTTTTTCTCATTAAGCCCTCTCACCTGATGATTAATAGCAAAAACATATGTTTTGATGCATTAATTACGTTTGAGAAAAAAGGTTGCATCTTCTGACTGGGATAGATATAATCACTTTTATTGGTTTTTATAACAGACTGTCCATTAATATGTCTTAATCATACTTGTTTTGTGTTTGAGGTTTTTTTTTGGGGGGGGGAGGGGAGGGAGATGTTGGCAGGGTTATTTGGGTTTTTTTGTTGTAGACTACTAAAAACAAACAAACAAACAAGCACTATGAATCCAAGTTCTGGAAATATGTAAAAATCTGTTGTTGCCTCTGTAACAGGCTGTTTACTGATATGGGTCAAAGTTGGGTTTTTTTTGTAGTAGACAAAAAGAAAAGGCACTATGGAGCCACGTTCTGACATTACCTACAACATGTTTTCACTTCTATTCCAAATTCTATCTTTCTGAAATTTACAACAGTCGTTATGAACAAGTAATACCACTTACTGAGAACTCCTGTGTCGATATTAAGATTTCATTTATTTCTGGTTCATGAATAAGAAATAACTAGTTTAATTCACATATTATCTTGACAAAAGAAAATTTTAGGAAAATCCCATTTCTTAAAGTGAACATTCTTCCCCGCTTACAATTCCTACCACTTTTTTGTGTGTGTTTTCCAGAGTTTCTTAATATGTTAAGAATAAGTTTAAATGATACCCAGAATTATTTTTTTTCTCTATAAAATTATTGTACAACTACTTTCTAGCATTGCCAGGTATTTTGTCTAGCATGTAGAAGACACTGTGTTTTCACAATTTCTTATTTTTTGAATGATTAGTTTGACATAAACAAGTATATGCTTTTCTATTTTTCTAAATAGTTGTCTATGTTTTGATTGTGTCATGTAAAATACATATTAATACTTTGTAATTAAAAACCCCTATAATTTCAATATAAGATGAAGTTGTAGGCAGTTCATACTCTAGAAAAGTTGTAGTAAATGCAGTAAAAGGTGTGTTTCTAAATCACACTATATGTATTTGAGAAAGGAAAAAATGTTATCGTTATTTAAGTAGGGTATAATGGTTAATGTGTGAAAAAATATTTTAAAATTGAAAAATAATCTCTACTGGCCACTAAAATGACTGGATTCTTTGCTGTGAACCTCTTTGGCCATGACTGACATACATATTTTTTTCTACAGCTCCAGATGGTCCTCCAGAAAATGTGACTGTTTTAGCTACATCTCCTCACAGTATTAATGTCAGCTGGAATGAACCTCTCATCATTACTGGACCCACTTGCTACCTCATAGACATTACCTCAGTAAGGCAACTCTGTTTTAATTGTTGGTAGTAATACAGATGTTCGGTGATATAAATACCACAGCAGGTGTTCTTATGGAAATTACAGGACAGACATAAGGTGGATTGAAAAATAGACTCTGTCTATTTCCACATAAATTCCACTTAGGAATTAATTGTAAATTTATAAATTTCTTAAAGAAAGATAAATTAATTACTTGGTATTACAAAATGTGTGCTAATAAGAGGTATTGGGGGGGCGCGGGGGGGAAGTGCAGCTATAAATATATATAGGAAAACAGTAGCTGAGCTTTGCGGAGGTGTCCCTCCTTCTAACAATAATTATGCTGTTTACCCATAAAAAGAATTACTTCAGTTTTGTTCTTTAAAGGAAGGAAAAGTTCACTGTCATGATTTTACAAATCAGAGTGGAGAGCCTAGCAAAATTAAGTGACTTGTACAAAGTTACACCGCATCAGAGGGCAAGCTTTAAAGTCAAACTAGATTTCCCACTTTCCACTTGGTACTCTGTCCATCAGATTAGCTGTATTTTGGTAGCACAGCAATAACACTTCTTTCTCCTTGATCTTTATAAGGAAAAAAAACGCTGGCATAATAGAAAAGCTCTAGTGGCCTTTCTCTTTTCATCCTCTACTACCCTTATAATACTCCTTAAAACAACCACTAATAAACCTCATTTCCTGCCCTGTGGCAAGATAAAAAAAACTTTCTAAATTCAAGCACATGAGAAGTTTTAAGTAGGATATAGGTTCCATGTTATTCCAGAAATTATACAGACAGTGTTATCTGTGAAAGTGGAAATTTTACCAGACTTTAGCCAGGAAAACTTGCTGTTTGCCGCTTCAAAAATCCTGAATCAGGATGTTAGATAATCTGAGAAGAGCGTAAGACTATTATGTGTATGTTTTCATTGTTTCTGAATCGGTCCTAAGAATTACAGATATGCTAAAATGTTAATGCTGAGATTTTGTTCAATCAAAATTTCAAGATCAGTAAAAAAACCCGAATATTTTTAAGCTCCTGAGTAAAGTTACAAGAGAGAGTAATGTGCAGTTCTGCTATTTTCTCTTCCTCTAACTTCATTACATGATATGTAGAGTACAATCTGTTCAGTTCTGAACACACCACAGCAGTAGTATGGCAGGATGAAGGATGTACAATAATAAGAGGAATACTAATAGGTAAGGAATGGTTCCTTGGCCCATTGGGTAGGTCACTAGAAGCTGCATAACAGTTTTTATTTCTCCTTTACTAAAGTTAGAGAAGATTTTTTCCTTTTGAAAAGTTCTCATCACTTTTGACCAAACTACATTAGAGTGCATCAACAGAAAAAAATATTTTCATGCTCTTGATAAAATATCCTAATTCAATTTTCAAAGTTTGATTTTTTTTTTGTGTGTGTGTGTAATATTTCATCAATTTGTATTTAAACAGTTTCTCCTGTCGGATAGTTCCTAAATTACAAACACGGTGTCATCTGATTCTACACTATGAAAACATTATAAATGCCTTATGAATAAAAGTTACAATAAAATGCTTAAAGTAAGATGAACAATGGAATGTTTCATGTGAGCCTGACAGCATTTGGAAGGAACTCAAAAACCTGGTTTAAATGTTCAGTTTTGGAGGGCTTTGGTTTTGTTTTTACAAAGTGAGGCTTTTTTCAAGTATATTTGAGGTATCTAGCTTTATGTTTAGGGATTCCTTGTAATCAGATGTTGTCTGTCTAATGATCAGTAAATACAGGAGTCAGTTTTGTAGATAATCATCTTCATAGACAAATCTATTCCTTCTTTAAGGCAAACAAAGCTGTCACAATCTTTTTCAGTGAAAATTTGAGTATATACTTTATTGTCCCAGTGGGAAAATTTTTATGAATTCCACAAACTTCCTGTATGTATGACTCTACTTATTTTAGTTCTCAACTGAATATCTTTAATGATTTATAAAAATAGGCTCACAGAACAGAATAATTGCAGGTTTCTACTCTGTGATGTCTTTATTCTTAAAATGTAGTAATTAGTGTTTAATTGCTAGGATATTCCTTTCAGTTTTATAGATCAGAAGAACTAAAAAGCACTCCCTCATTTTTATTCCTCCAAGTCATATTTTAGTTTGTCTTGCTGCCTGCTGTAATTAGAAGTATTCCTGAACAAAGTATTGCTGAGTAAGGAAGATGGACCTGAACCATTAAACTTCAGGAAAAATAGAAATAAATTTTATGATGTAGTCTTGTGATTGTATTTTAGCTCTAGCTCTTATATAAATATTTATATGCCAGATTTTTGATAGATAGGAAAAGTTTTTCAGCTCTTCTCAGGAAATGAATGTCTGTTTAGTCCATCAGAAAGTTTAGTTCAGGTTAATTCTCAGTGGGGATAGATGCATATCTGTCAAATAAAAGGTATGCTTCAACTATTCTAATGTTTTAGCAGCTGCATTTAATACAGATTTCATCCAGTGGGAAAACTACTGTACAGCTACCTAATCCTCTTTTCAAATTACACACTGAAGAAACAATAATGAAAACATCATTAACCGAAGTAGTGGGAATAGACATAAAAAGAATTTTGTAAATGATACTTGATTAAACACTAGGAAAGCTCACATTATTTTCTTTTTTCTCCTTTTTTAAGCTAACATTAGAATTGATTAGTTATATATAAAGCCCAACACTATAGATTTTTCTACAGAACTACAGATTATTTGAGATGCAGGGATGATAGGGATCCAAAGGAGTAATCCAGTCTATATCCTGCTGTAATACAGAAACAAGTGTACCTAGAGTCTTCCTTACCACAAATGATTCATTACCCTCTTCTTAAAAATGTCCAGTGCTGAAAATTGCTCAGCAACCCTCAATAGATTGTTCTAGTTTTTAAATAAACTTATAGTCACAGTTTTAGTTACATATTTATGTATATTATTGCAGGCTTTGTAATATTTAATTCTACTCTTTTTTTGGCACAAATAAAATCCCTATCTGTGTTTTCATGAAAACTAGAAACAATGGATTAACTCATTTAGTAACATCCTTTTTTATATTTTGAGGTTATTACTATGTCTTTCAGTCTAGAATAGGGAGAATGGTGAACCCCAATTATTTCTGCTTTCTAGCTTTTCTAGTGAGAGAATTACTCCCGCCCCACTCTCCTGTAAGTAGTGCATATATTAATATATCCCAGGTGGTATTACATTTTCTGCAATCATATCAATATTATATATTGATGCCAAATTTTCTTTTGGGGTTGGGGTGGTTTTTTTGTTTGTTTCTTTCAGGGGTTTTTTGGTGTGGTTTGTTTGGGGTTTTTTGGAGTTTGTTTTGTTTTGTTTTGTTTTTTCCAAACAATTTTCTGCTATATAGCTACTCATCTTCTGGATCTCTGCCTAGTTTGATTCTCTTATGGTCGCTGCAGCTCCTCTGGCCCAGTGTCTACCAGTCGATTCATGTTTGCTTGGTGGAAGACAGCACCAAGCAAATAGCCCATTTCCTTAGTCCTACACCATGTGAAGTGCTAAAGAGGCAACACACAGAATTACAGAACGGTTTGGGTTGGAAAGGACCTTAAAGACCATCTAGTTCCAACCCCCCTGCCATGGGCAGGGACACCTTCCACTAGACCAGGTTGCTCAAAGCCTCGTCCAGCCTGGCCTTGAACACAGGGGTGAGATGGAAGCATAGTCCCCTGTGCAGCTTTCTAGTCTTGGTAGCTAGAGACTTCTTGGGAACCCTTCTATGTAAATGGTTAGAAAAGTGGAAAGATAACATTTTCAAATAATAATGCCTTGCTTTTGGCTATTGCAAGTCTTGTAATCATCTTTTTTTATCATTATTATTTTACAGGTAGATAATGACAATTATAAAGCTCAGTTTCTGAAGACAAATGATGAGACTAAATTCTTAGAAATTTCTGATTTAAAAGCATTTACAAGGTATTCTGTAGCAATCACTGCTTTTACAGGGGATGTTAATGCTGCACTCATTGAAGGCACAGCTAGTTCTCCAGTAATTGTCTCCACTTTTGAAGCAGGTTTGTATTTTTCTCTAAGTTATATGGATGAAACCTTGCAGTTTTTGTATTATCTGACAAGTAAATGAGAGTTTTTAACACATGGAGCACATTTAATGCAGATTTGTACTCACAATATGTTTTCTTTAATATTTAAAAATGCAGCAGTCAACAAAAACAAAATGATGGTGTTAATAAATACTGAGATTTAACTTTATTAATGCAGAGGTCTTAACTTGCTTGATGTAAAATGTGGATGTGTGGAACACAGCCCTCTAGATCACTCCTATGGTCAGTGAAGAGATGTCCAGTCTGTATTAGCATGTGTATATATAAGATACCTGTCTTAGGAAGGGATGATTCTCCCTTATGGAGGTGCCTC